CGTGTGCGTGTGCGTGATGGTGCGTATAGGTGCGTACATGCGTACGTTCAACCTCTCATCGCAGCAATATCTTATCCACGACGTGGCATGCTTTTTCGAATCAGTTTACCTCTGAAACACTGTCCTCCTCACTCTCTGACGAGTCTGCCATAAAGCGTGGCTGCAACTCGGAGAAGGTCTCGGTCTCTGACTTCGTAGGACTGGAGTTCGAAGACTGGGGAGTCGACGACGTCTTTCCAATGTCGTGGTGAACGCTTGCTGATTTTTCGTGCTTCTGACTATCCGAGGTCGTTCCTTGTGCTACATTCTGCATCTTTACCTTCCAGATGAATCATATGATACTAAGGTATCGTTTCCGTGTCGCAAAACACACACAGAACACTTGCTTTTCAATAATAATCTCGAGCACGATCGCCGTCATTCACGTAAGCTAACACCCGCCATTTCTACTATGGCCGACTCCGAAACTCCCAGATGCCTCTTCGTCCGTCTATATGATTTCATGCGATTCGACGAGCCATCTTTCGACTCCTAGAGCGGGAAATTTTAAACTATACTCGAACCGAAACCACATCGTATCATGGATTTTACGCTTAAACTGAACCGCGTATAACCGATTTCTTTCTCCCTTTAAAGAAACAACGAGAATTTCTCTTTTCCTTTCTATTTTTCTTTTCAACCGTTTTTCCAACTAATTAAGAAATAATTATTATCGAACTAGCTCGCTCGCTTACTCGTCTTTACTACTTGCGAACAAATTAATACAAATTTAAAACATTTTCCATTCTCTTTTGTTTGCTTTCAGCTTTTTAAGGACATAAACGCACACAGAATTATTAAGCAGTTTACCCATTATTTGATTTGTATTGTAAAAAGTTGTTGTATTTATTTTCAGATACATCGATGGAAGGCCGTCGAGAACTATTCACATTTTCGCTACAAATCGATAGTATACAAAACACATATATCCGTTTATTCATCAAAATATTTATAACATTCATTCACGTATTTGTTACATAATAAACGAGTTTTCGCCTTCACAAAAATGACTCGATATCGATTTCTAGTACAGAACAGGGCATATTTAAGTCAAACTTTGAGATTACATCTGGATGTAGGACGCCCATTTTTCCGATTACTTTTCCACAAGATACAATTTCTGCGCACCGATGGGGGAAATATGTAGGATCTGAAATAGAACAGTTTATTAAATCACATCCGAGATCAATTCAAAGAAAACATAATTTTCTATTGTAGCGCAAGTAGTTTGAGCAAGTAATTGTTTCTCGATATTTTCATTTACCATTCACCGTACGAAGCCAATACCCATTGTCGTTTTCATTGACGCTCCATGGTATTTCCAATACTTGTAACACTCTGTCTAACAAACCATGAATTATTTCAAAACCGTCCGACTTGTTGCAATACACGGCACACAAATGTCGATTATTACGTGCGCCTACTTCCATGGTACTATCCTTCAATACAATATCTGAGACTTCAAACAGCTTTTGAGGAAGCGGCATATTTTTATTAGCGGCAAGTGTTTTCAATAATCCTGGCAATAAAGTGGTACGCGCTACCTATAACGTCCTCGTTTACTAGAAATCGCTGAACAGACACTTTATTATCGATAAGATTGATTTACCTGAAATTCTAACGTTTTTGGATTCGATATATGTATCGCTGGTATGTTTGACAATTTATGGCCCAACTTATCAGCTATATCTTCCCGAGAACACTGCAATAAAAAGGTAATTGAATGCCCTATTATTAAATATATTATTAAATATATTATTTACTTATTTTACTCAATAGATTTCATACCAATGAGAAAGTCAGTGCTTCTGTGAACCCCGCGCAAGATAATTCCACGCGTAATTGATCGGACAACTTGTTAAGTGGAAACTAAATTTTCAATGAAAGCAGACACGAAAGATTATCCTCGAGTTTCTTTGCTCTTTAACTGATTAAGAACATGATAATGTTTGTCCGAACCTCTTCAGCGATCGTTGAAAAACGTGGTATAGTTTTTTCAATGTTATTATACCCATACGCTATAGCGATATCTTCGTAAATATCGCATACGTGCATTACATCGTGTCTTGTAGGAGGCACTTCTACGTATAATTTATTATTCTCTGTAGCTGAGCTTTTCAATGACATCTTAGACAACAGATTAGCCACTTCTTTTGACGTTTGCCTCACGCCAATGTAATTCATCGCTGTCTCACAATTGATTTCCTCGGTTCGATATTTCAAATCAGGCTGATGAAACACTTCGTTATTAGGGTATACAACTTCTACTGCTTCTACCGTGTACTTCGTTTTGCAATATTGGCTGAATGCACAAACTATAGTATCCAATACTATTCTTGCCTGCAAGTACACATAACAAACATTCTTTTTTTAATAATATTCTTCGACATTCTTTTCGACGATCGAATACTATTGTTTACTTTTACCTTTGTAAGATCTGTTGCTGTACATTCTATGAATATATTTTTAGTGTTCAGCGTGATTTTCGAGTGATCTCCATTGATAATAGGTGGAAGAGATAATACGATTCCATTACTGTCTTGCACTACAGGATAAACTGGACTCTCTTTTATAATGTGTAGGTATTGTTTTAATTGTGCATGATTCTAAAAGACCTATTTTAAAAGCTGTTTCTCCGAATAAAATAACACGTACATTAATATTCTGGGTTACTCACATCATACAAACTCATTATTTCTTCCCCTGTATACTCTCTCGTTTGATTAAGAGGTTTAAAACGAATACTTGTCGGTGGTTTCGCATCGTATACGAAAGGGCCCTTAACTGTATCTAAATCGTGAGTACCGATCGACACCAAAGTTCGTTTTCTTCCTATGTTTTGATGCAATTTATCTTGAAGGTCTATAAAGCTATTATAAGAATCCTCGGTAAACGTAAAATCGCGCAAAACAGCTGCAACAATGTGTCCCCTAACTTTTAAACACTAAAATATAAAAGCGAATTGAACGGTATGCTAATGCATTAGTTTTTATAATTATTTATATACTTCAACAATCGATAAAGCTTCAAAGTTCCAACATAATTTTATGTACCTCGTTTGTCATAGATATTCTTTGCATCCCTGTATTTGGAAATGTGACCACGTATCGTGGAATATCGATCCTACGTAAAAATATTTAGAGGTATACAATATATATAACATAACAATAATAATGATTTTGTAATTTAATTTCTTTAACATATTTAATCGATTAAATATAATTCGAAGAACGTATATAGATTCAAAAGTAATGAAATACGCATACTCTGCAATTATAAATTATGATATATCAATGATACATACTTATTTAAAAATATCAGCAGTCCGAGCGTTAAACCTTCCATACATAATAAATCATATCTATTTGCCGGTATATCAATTTTATATACAATTTCCTCCGACCCTTCTGTAGTTTGATCTAAACCTTTTTCCTTCATTATGATTTGCTTTTCCGTCGTCTAAACGTTGAAAGTTAATTAACAATGTTATATACTCCCTAAAAATATTAGTCAATGAAAAAGATACATACCACTTCATCCAATTCTAAGCCAAATTTGAAGCACAAATCTTCAAACTCCTTGTCAGCTGAAACGATGTTGTCAAATTCAATTAATATTAATAAACGAAAATAATAGGAAAAAGATATTCATTTATTCTAACAGAATACAAGTATATTAATACATATTGAAGTATTTGATATTGTAAAATCTATCGGATGCTTACAATACTTTTTACCAAGTGTCTTGAATAGTAAGTCACGTTTAACATTAATCGTCGGCATGTCTTATATTACGCACAGTACTTCTCCCTGCAGAATAATACAATCAATTGATATAGGACTTGATAAACAAATATATTAAATTATTTAGAAAAATAATTTAGAAAAATATTTTGGTAAACGATACAAGTTGAGGTTAGAGTTATATTCATTCGTTTAATGCATACAAGTGCATCGAAATTCTCTATTAAATACATATTCTTAAGTACATGTTAGTTAGATATATACTACTTAGATATAAATACTTACAGATTATTGACAAGAAAGATGATTAACTTTCAGTACTAAATATCGGTACCTCGTATGCAATATCGGATATCGTTTTACAATCCAAGAAACACTAAGCGAAACGAGAACTCTCTCTTATATCGTAACATTCAATGTTATAATTTATAACTACACACCAGCGCTATCTAACTTATTCCCCTCGCGCTAGTAACTCGAAAACAGTATTCCCCCACTTATACCTGTACTTTAGTAGCTGCCCGAGCTGCGTATATAATAAGTGTACAAGCAGTCTATGGAGTGTTCGATTCTCACAAGTAAAAGAAAGTATAGAGAGGGTAACCTTTCGTGAGGAGAGTGTTACTAGAGTGTCTGCGGGCGTACCGCATAGAGACACCTTTGGACTAGAATTTAGAACAATCATTCCCAAATTTTTCAATTAATATCTTTTTCTTACTTATTCCCCTATAAAGCTTGACTATATTATTTATAGCGATTCCTCACATATGTATTCTTCGTAAATGAAACTCTTTCGATTAATGCGTAAACTAGATTTTTAAATGTTTCGTGATCCGTCAAAAATCAAGTCACGACGCATCAACGAGTCTTGTTTCGAATTCTTGTTTATCATTTGGTTAACAATTAAATTGGCTCATCGAGCCCCTGAAGTCGAGTAGAGACAATACTTTGGCCGTTTCTTCTTTTTAAACGATGCAACAAGTATTTTTGTCAAACTCTCCATAATTTCGTTAGTAAAGTAAAACTAAGTACACTGTATATATTAAAAGCGAGAAGTCTGTTATCGTTACAATTAAACATAATCGGAAGAACAGCAAATAATATTCTGGTATTAAGCTTTATTTTATGAAATTGTGACATAATAAGTTTATCTGTACAAACAATTTGTGTCTAAAAACCACGTTACACCACAGATAGAGAATTATAATTCAACGTATTGAAAGAAAAATATTGCTTTCTCATTGAATCAACGAACTAATCATGCTGAAAAAAGAAACTACCTGTAATTTATTCAAGTTTTATACATTTGTTTAGACTACAAAGTCAGGAACTTACCCGTATAAATAATAAAAAAATGATAAGACATAAAATGCAAGTTTAATCCATCCTTCTCTTTGGTGAGCAGTAAGAACTTGCGCATTCAAAATAGTAGTGGGATCGTATAAGCCTGGCTTAGACATCACAGGTCTATGATAATATCTCCATAAATGGTAATCAATTAATGGAATATTAAGAAGCAATGAAAACCATTGTCCACTTATTAAAAATAAAACATTGATCAGAATGTGCAAACTGTATTCTGGAATAACTAACTGAAATATAAATATGTAATATCATAACTTTGGTTTGAATATTATCGAAATGTTCAACCTTACCGGATTTAAACTGTTACATTGCTCGATCGGATTTTTGTATCCAGTTTTTAATTCGTCGAATGTAATCACCTGAAATATATACAATCAGTGTAGTAATTATGATAAGTAGGAAACGCGAGGTTAGGAATAATTCATATTAATCGTATACACATTTCTATCTAACGTTTTACATAAAACAACTAATTGTTGTTAATTACAAATAACACGTACGTGAAATATTGCAAAAAATATTAGAAAAGCATCTACGATTAATGCCACGATATATGAAAAAGCGGCTAAACTGAACGCCATTATGACCATGCAAGACACAATACCACATGATTCGATGCTCGCTAAATCGGTTGATACAAGGATCAAATATTTGATTATGAGTCGACGTACATACAGTAAAATGATTTGTTATGTTACGTGGTTTGTTCTGTTAGTTTTTTCTAATAACATCGTGATTATTCTATGAGTAATATAAATCTAATTTAACGATGATCATGCATACATCGACGAATTGTATTCTTTACTTTCTATTCACTATAAAAAATACATACAGGTATTTATTTTTTTTATTGTACGAGAAAGATATAAAATAGTGTTGTACTCGAAGAAATTTTTAAACGTTTCACTTTCCTTCCACTACTGTACCTTTCATTGTTGGAATTCATTGAAATGAAAAAAATGTGCAA